AGTCTACAGTTCAACCAAGCGTATTTGTTAGTTTTCTAAGGTGTACAGAATAGAGCATCTCTTGCACAAAGCTGTGTGGCTCCAACTTTGTAGGGGTGAGGTCTTAATACAAAATTTCTAAGCTTTGTTTAATGAAGTTGGGATGCGTCCAAGAGTTTTGAATGATGTGTATAAGGAAAATACATTCACAAGTGCTCAATGGCTACAACAATGTGTGAAAGAATTATTTGTCTCAAGTTATGAAACACCAAAGAAGAAAATGTGCTCTACTGTTTTAAAGTGCCTGAAACCTTATGTTTTGAAGTGAGGTGTTGCCAGACAGGTGTTGCATATGAGAACAGTAACTGCATTATCCAATTCATACAATATAATTAAAGAACTTGGCCCTGCAGTACAAAATTGCAGTGTTGAGATCAATAAATTTTGAGTTTGCTACAGCTGGAATCTGGGTCTTCTCATACAGTAATTTATTGAAGTTATTAGATTTCACCAAAAGTTTAATGCTGCTGGATGTAACCATTTTAACCTTAAATTACTTCTTTTCATGAAAATTGAGGATTGATTTTTTTATTTCTTAATAACTTGGGTCTGTAGTTCTCAGCAGTTATAGGAGTTTTGCAGCTCTCAGCATTTACAGCTGAGAACTCTGATTTCGTATATACATTCTGAACAATAACAATAGAGCTCTATAGAAAATATGGCCAAGAAAACATTACACTGACCATTGTATACCATATTAAACTATCTACTGCAAACCTTCTCTAAGGTATCCTGCCAGAGATCATAATGAGTTTTCCCTTTGCTTATGTGAAATTTGATAGTCTTTTGAGTAACCTCACTCACAGAAAAGCAATTAGATCAGTGCAGTCTGTTTTCTCCTGTAATGCAGGCCAGATACTTTCCTCCAGAGATTTCCTATATTGAACCAAACACATAGTATCTAAGTAAAAGATGTTTTCGACCAAACATGCAATCTAGCATTAACACCCTTTGGCATTTTGTTCCAATGTGACAAGACCAACACTGGAGGAAAAGTCTCTAGGCAAGCCTAGGCAATAGGGAGTCTGACCCTATCCTACCTGTGCTATTGTACACAGTTCTCAGGATGACCCAAAAATCCCAATTTTATGGAATTGGGAGAAATCTGCGATATATTTAGTCTTAAAAACTAATGGAACAGTGAAAATAAGCTTTTATGTGCTCACCTTAAGAAAATCATGAACATCTTCAATATGAAAAGTTTTACTGAGGAGACTCCCTTGTTCAGCCTTCTGTCTGTGTTTGAACTCTTCTCTCTTCTTTGCACGGCACTCCAGTCGTTTCAAGATCAGGTCTTTACTTTGCTGGATACATTCTGGAACATAAACACCGATGATCAGATACCACAACTCCACAGGGAGAAAGTAGCATCTGCTACTGTCACACAACATAAGCTCACAGAAATCTGTTAGTGAGTGAAACAGGCAAGTAATTACCATGCAGGACTTCAAATTTGATTCTTACCCTGACGGTATTTTTAGATGTGAACTTTTGGGTTGTTACATGGCACTTAAATCTATCAGGTTTTTGGATCACTACCATCCTCACCCTCCCTTTCGCTGCTGCTGCTTATGCAAAGGCAGTGAGTTAGTTCAAGAAACAGATTCCCACCTGCAGCACCCCAGACCTCCCCCTCCTGCTTTGGGAAGGTCCAGAAGTGGCTCATTGCCTAATTGATATGCAAATGCTGCTGCAAGGACAGGGCAGTAACATATGGCGGGGATAAAAGGTCTAGAGCAGCGCTAGTTCAGATTAGCTTGAACTGGCATGCAGCCATACCAGGCTTCCAAAATGACTCATCCAGGAACCTGCAGCAAAAGTTGTCAAGGTCCCTCTGATTTTGTGTTGGTACCGTGAAATATTTGGGACCAAGTTCTTCCCCTCTTCGCCCCCCCCCTACAGCTCCAAGTGATTTATAAATTCATGACTCTACCTGGACCCTGTGCTGCAGAGTAGAACTGGTGCTTTCAATATTCTGCCACTCATTGACAGTCTCATTGACTGTCCACCTGAGAAAAAACTTTATTCATTTCCCCCACTCACCCTGCCCCAGACCAGTACTTCACTCCTCACACAGGCAGCTAAAGAGAAATGCAAAAGAATATTTATCTGTGGCTGCTGTTCTGCCACCCCATCAAGCTGCTTTAACTATGAGAAATTATTTTGTGGAGAAATAAAGGAGTACAGTACTGTAGCACTGAGCATGTTACTTATTCTCCATGCTCATTTATCGTGCTTATCCACAGGCTGATGATGCACTGACAAAACAATTGAAAGTGCACTGAAAGTACAGGAAAGCCTGTAATAAAAATGTCATATGAACAAATGTACCAACAGTTATTTTTAAACACTACTTGATTCTTTACTACTTCCTTGTTTGTTTCCTAGGAGCACAGTCTTGCTGGCTTTGTGTTCTGCTTGTGAATTATAAGTAAAGTTTAACTTATGTATTTAGGAGCTTATAAGCAAGGTCAACATAGACTCACATGTGAAAATGCTGCACTCCAGATTTTTTTTTTTTTTAAGCACATTTCATTTCTATCTAAAACCAGGAGTTTGATAATGCCCTTCTGCACAGGCTGTACTAACTATAATATATAGCTGTATATAACTATAAACACCTACTTTGCATAAAAATCAAGGCCTTGACAGAGGTATTTTTGCTTTGGAACAAGAGAAACTTGACAAAAAGGGGGAAAAAACACCCACAGATGTACGTTTATGCTTAAGGAATGCTAGTGGCTGAACCTATGCAAAGACTTTGAACTAGGCATGCCAGTTTTATGAGCAAACATCCATGAAATAATCTGTATCATGATATACATGAATTCTTGAGTATCAGCAAACTGTTCACATGGTTAATTGATGTTTTTAAAGTAGAGCAAGTCTGCAGCATGGGAATTCCAATCACCTTCTACGATGAAATGACTGGCTCGGTAGATGAGGGGAGAGCAGTGGATATTGTCTACCTTGACTTCAGCAAGGTTTTTGACGCAGTCTCCTGTCAAATCCTCATAGAGAAGAGGACGAAGTATAGGCTGCATGAGCAGACAGTGAGATGGATTGAAAACTTGCACAAAGTTCACGTGAAAGCCAGTAATGAGTGGTGTACTCCAGGGGTCAATACTGGGTCCAATCCTGCTCAGTACCTTCATTAATGACCTGGATGATGTGGCAGGGTACACCTTCAGCAAGTTTGCAGAAGTCACAAAAATGGGAGGAGTGGCTGATACACCAGAGGGTCATGCTGCCATCCATAGGGCCCTTAACAAGCTGGAGAAATGGGCTGACACAAATCTCATGAAGTTCAACAATAGGAAATGCGAAGTTCTGCACCTGCGGAGGAAAGACCCCAGGCACCAGTACATGCTGGGGGCCACCCAGCTGGAAAGCAGCTTGGCAGGAAAGGACCTGAGGGTCCTGGTGGACACCAGGTTGAACATGAGCCAGCAATGTGACCTTGCAGCAAAGAAGGGTAATGGTATCCTGGGCTGCATTAGACAAAGCATTGCCAGCAGGTGGAGGGAGGTGATCCTTCCCCTCTACTCAGCACTGGTGAGGCCACACCTGGAGTACTGTGTCCAGTTCTGGGCTCCCCAGTACAAGAGACATGGACAGACTGGAGAGAGTCCAACGAAAGGCCATGAAAATGGAACTGGAATGATGCACTGGAACATCTCTCCTATGAGGAAAAACTGAGAGAGCTGGGGCTGTTCAGCCTGGAGAAGAGAAGGCTCAGGGAGGATCTCATCAATGTGTATAAATACCTGGAGGGAGGGTGCAAAGAAAACAGAGCCAGGCTCTTCTCTGTGGTGCCCAGTGACAGGACCAGAGGCAACAGGCACAAACTGAAACACTGGAGGTTCCCTCTGAACACCAGGAAACACTTGTTTACTGTGAGGGTGACTGAGCACTGGCAAAAGTTGCCCAGGTAAGTTGTGGAGTGTCCGTCCTTGGAGATACTCAAAAGCCATCTGGACATGGTCCTGGGCAACTGGCTGTAGCTGACCCTGCTTGAGCAGAGGTTCCTTCCAACCTCCATTCTGTGATTCTGTGAATTGCCAACTGTGAGATATGGCACAATTTGTGGACACAAAGCCTGAAAGTGAATGAGCAGCGCTGCAGCAAGAATATACTGCAAAAAGACTACATTCATTCTGACTATTCAGTTCACTGAACTCTAACCCTAATGCCGTTTTGCTAGGACAATTTTCTTTAAATATGCCCACAAGTAGCAGAAATGGTTATGGAAAATGTGTGAGAGTAAAATACTCCTCACTGTTTTCGTTTTGGCTGAATGTGTACTATAATTTTCCATGAGTGCCGATGGAAAGCACTGAGCCCTTGATATAGCACCTATCAGAGAAGTTGGGGGTATGTTTCTCAACATGTTGGGCACTAGGTAACATGCAAAGTGACACAGGGAGAACCTTAAATCAGTGGGTCAGTCAGCTTAGACTTTGTTATAATTGTGTACTTTACAGATAGGCAATGTGAAGGGCTGTAAGAGGAAAAGACTTTAAATTTAAAGTACTTTAGTCTGACATAATAAAAGAGAGGTTTATCTGAAGATCATAAGCCTTAAAATTATCTTTTCACAAGAGTGATAGCACAACCATGTTTTGTGTATCTTCTGGCTCCACATGCCAGCAGGAGATCATAAGACAGTATTCTGCACATATACAGCTACTACTGTCCCTAACGTTAGCCAGTATCACCAACAATGTCAAGTATGTGAACAGTAAATGGAGAAACCTCACAAATACTTGTAACAAGCGTGACTCTTCTTCAATCTTCAAATTAATGAAATAAGGTATAGGTTATGTGAACCGTAGAGTAAGTTCATAGTAATGCCTGGAACAAGACCTAAAAGGCCTAAAGCCAAAGTTCCCATTCTAAGCATCCACCCTTCACAATAATAGCGTTCTTGGCCAATTCATCAATACCTTTTTAAAACAGAGGGGTATAGGGCTGAAGCCATAACTTTTTTACTATTTAATACAATAATGACAATTCATACCCATATTTGTTAAGTCATGAGCTCCTGTCTAAGTACTCACCATTACTGAAATGTGCCAGCTGTTCCCAGAAGGCCTTGTGGAGATCCGTTAAAAGTTCTTCCTTTTGTCGGACTGAGAGATTATTCTTTACAGTTAAATGGTCCAGAATATTTGATACAATATTTAATCTACACTTGCACTCTTCTGGTATATAGGCCTTCAGCAAATCAATCATTTTTACCATAAGCTCCCAGTTGAATAACCTTTCCTGAATGTCCTAAAACAAACATTAAAAAGTCCTGTTTAGAAACCAAGAATAGGTCTTTGGTTGTGCTTGTCCTTTCATCGAATTATTCATTCCCAAGCTACACAGAAAACCGAGGAGGCTTCTCAAGACCATATGAATAACAATCTTCATGTACTTAAATACTTCTGAAAATCTTGACCGGTGTAGGATAGCAGTGGGTTTATTGCATGTTCAGTTGCAAAAGCTAATCAAGAACTATTGGTGTTTTTCATTATTTGTAGCTGTCAAGAAGACATTAAGGCAGGAAAAGACAACAACAAGCTTGCGGAACAAACTTAAATACTCAAGGGGGAAAGATGGACAGAAGGGCAACAGGGAAGCCCTGGACCTCTTTTCAAGATACTATATGGCACACCAGTATGGGCCTTCATTTTGAAATGAGGACACATATCTGATTTTGATACTGCTGGGATTCCTTCAAGTACGTGGTCAGCTGGAGTTCAGTAAACATACTAAAAATTAGTATAATTGTCTATGGCCTAGCAGCTTTCATTGCACTATGAGAGAAGAAGCCCAGGATTACAGTAGGGAGCAAGATTTCCTGGGTGAAACCACTGAGAGATGTTAAGGGTTTTCAATTCCAGTTAAAGTCATTGGACACACAGAATCACCCTCAAATTTAGATTAGGATTTCTCAGTCAAAGTGGAATAAATACTTTGAAAGAAAAAGAAATGTCCTAATGCCCAGGGTAATGATTCTCCTTCATCATTAGATCTAGTGCTCTTGCTCCTGGCTCACTGGCTGCATTAATGTCACTTTTTCCTAACATGACTGCCTAAACGGTATTTTGAGAATTAGAACTCAAGTGCAGAGAGTTCACCCTCCTGTGAGTCTTCATAAACTGCAATGAAGTTGAGCTCTTTGCAACAAAGCTGAAACAGACAACTGGAGTAAGCAGCCTACATCATTCCTGAGGCAGGACTGACAGACTCTGTACACTTGCATCATTCTTTGTGTTCAGATTGTCTAAATCTCTCTCAACTTTTACTTCTTTTTGTACTTTACCATTGCCTGCAAATCTTGAGATTCACTTAATAAGCTTTCTACTGCAATCATCTTCTTGGTCAGATCCATCATTATCTTTGTTGCTTTGGCACTTGAGCATTTTGATTGGTCCAAAAAAGCCTGTTGGGCTTTGTCAGTCTGCTTCCAGAAAGCTTCCATCTGTGGAATATGAATCAAAAACAATCCATGTTCCCTCATTAATCATCTAGTATTTCATTACAGTGAGAGGCATATGAGTCTACTGAGATACAAGTCACTGAGACTACAGATAGCTTTCAGTATTAGCTACAGTGAACATTTTGCAAAGCTAAAGAGCCTATTTACTATATGATGATACACCCGTTGGTGGCACATAAGCAGTAGATCAATCCTGACCTTTTAAAATGTAGTCATTCTGTGTAACTCGCTAAGAATTTGTTGTTAGTTCTCCACATACTGCATCTATAAAAGCCTATTATGTTATTAGTATTAATAGGAAAACTAAAAAAGATAACAAATTGCAGCCCTTTTTTCTGGGAAGTTTATTTAGCTGTAGGAGCAGGCATTCCAGTCAAACAAGATTTTTGCTAAAAAAGAAAACTGAAAATTGTCACTGTTTTTCACCATCAAAGCCTTTCATAGCCACATGCTACATAAGCACTTTATTAACTGCGCTGGAATTAAGCAATTTATGCAGTATCAGCCCAGTGTATGTGCCCATTCTGTATCTGTGAGTTTTGAAAAAAACTGTGACTATGGCATCTGTGAGTATGGCAAAGAGACCCTTTATGCTACTGAGGGAAGAGTGGATTAGTTCAAGGTCCTGATCTATATGAATCTGCATACAGGGAAATAATTTTCAATATGGATGAAAAGCATCTGCTGGCGTAAGAGTGACAGACCCACTGAAGGATGACTGCTGCTGGTGAATAACTGCCTCATGCTGCTCAGCGAGGCTGCCAGCGATTTTTTTATGTGAGTAACTCTGGAGAACTCTAAACAATCAATTTTTCACAGAGCAAAGTTAAAATTGCAAAAGAAACTTGACATAGATGTACCATCGTTACCAGGACTTCCACTATAAAGTGAAAGGCACAGAGAATCAAGAGAAAGCTGAGAAAATTCCCAGTGAAGCACTTAACCACCAGACATTAAAAAATGTGAACTCCTCTATGAAAAAGGGCCAAGGCTGAGATGACGGGCTGTTTAGTTCAGGGCTGAAGTGCCACAGTCAATCAGTGCAGGCAGCTCACAGAGCCATCAGTCTGGCTAGTCAGTCTCTCATTTTCATCAGCAGTGAATTTGCTCAAACCTCAAAAACAGGACTGGGAAGGAGAATATCTTCCACATTACTCAGTTTACTGGAAAGTAATACACAGAATATTCTTAACCTCCAGTTTTCTAGCCTGCAAGATATTCGGACATAGTGACACTACTGAAGAGGAAAAAAATAAATCTTTGAGAATCAAATGCCTGCTATCAGACTATATTTTTACGTCAAAAAACATGCGATTGTATTCTAACGGGGAAAGCTGCTAAAGAAAAATGCTTTGCTAAAGCAAACGTGCAAAGCATACTAAAAGGCTGTATTGTAGTTATTTTCTTAGTACTTATTTCAGCTGAAAAATTTATAGTCTCTTATTACTCTCTTACTCAGTTATGGAGGACTGAAGAAAACAAGGTGCTAGGGTAAAATTCCTAAAAGTCAGGCTATACGTAGGCTTGAAATAAATCTTACTATCTGACAAGCAACAGACATTTTTCAGCTCTAAACCCAGTGTGATAAAACAGTGTTTGTATAAAAAACATAGTGGCTTCCAAAGGGAGTTGGAAATACTTTGCTGGAGCAATGTAAAAATGTTTTCAGGACTCATTACTAACTGCGGACTAGTCAACACAACAGTTAAAAAAAAAATAAAAAAGCATTCCCCATCAAAAGAATAACATTAAAATAAAATTTTAGAAAAAATTAGAAGGTTACATTATCTATTACGTGCTCAGAATATTCCCTTTCTTTCCTCTCTAAGTCTTCTAGAGTCTGGTACTCTGAATTATGGGCTCCTGACATCTCAGTATTCTGGAGTCTAGAGTCAAGTTGTTTCTGTAATTCTTCAAAATCCTGGGAAAAAAAGCAAGTGATTTGTTAAACAGAAAACCAGACATAACTTCCGAATTCAGGAGTGAATTTGTATGTCAGTTCTGGCTCATGGCTAAGGAAACTGAACGAGAGCGTTCAGAAAGTTGTGTCTCTGGGTAATGCACCTTCTGCAGCAAGCAAAGAAAACTCAAGGTATATGGCAGCTCTGAACTACATTTAATACAAATACATAAATTTCTACTAGTATGTGAGTACAATCAAGACTGTTGTCCATCTCCACTGAATTCAAGTGTTAGTAAACACTGCTCCATGAGCTTTCATACCAATAATCCTTTGAATCTATCCACAAATGTTTTTATTTTAATGTATGTGCTCCGTCTTAAATGGCAGCTATGAGCGTACACGCTGTGTTTAAAAGCACAGATAAGTATCCAGATATGACAATCAGATAGTGTTTCCTGCAGAGTGCTAGCACACATGGATGAACACACCTGTAATATTCATAAGCGACAAATTACAGGCTACGTTATTAGACGGGTTTTTAAAAGTTTTTCAATCCTTCGAAACCAAGATGATTTCTTCTGAAAGCTAGCGATACCGATGAATACTAGTCTTCTGCCATTACTTAGTAGGTTGCTACTGAAATGGATGATTCCTCAGTTGCTGAAGCATGCCTTACAAAACAAGCATCTACTTTCAATACCACCCAATTTTGGGTGTCAACGCATTAACTTGATACCCTTATGCCTTAAACAAATGTAACCAGATTTTGACAAGCTTCACAAACAATTTCACCAAAATCTCATTAATTTTGCTTACAATGCAGAATTGAAAGAGGAAAACGCTGTCTGCAATAAATCATATAATTCTCTGTCTTGCCAATGCAGTATTACAGTACATAGTTTCCAGTGCTAATGCTTTTGCTTATTACCAACATCTCTTTTACATGGTATTCATAACCAGCCTCGTCCCTTATGTGATATCCCTACTCTAAGGCTGCCACGTTTCCACGACCTTTCTCTCCATAATATAGGACACAGGAATCCCATACTGGCACTTAAACAACTGGACTACTCTGGCAATTACTGCATCTAATAAACAAGATTTAGTCTTTGCCTTGCAGCAGCTCAGTTAAGTGCATGAAGACACTGATGCCATCAAGCCTCACTGAGGGTTAGGCTATACTGGGAAACGTGCCTAATCTATATTACCTCTGTGTTTATAATTTGAAGTCATTACCAGAATTCCATCAGAAAAAGGGATCCGCACACCAAATCTCACTTTTCGTTTAGTAAATACAATCAACTTTAATACTAAACCTGAGGATTTAAGGCAGAAGAGTTGTTTTAAGGCAAAATGCATTCTGATATAAATTATAAGGTACAACTACAGAGATGCCCGATATTAATTCACAGATTGTGAGACTGCATGAACAAAATAAATCTCAACAACTAGAGCTGACAAGCTGATAGACTAATGCCTAAATGTGAAATTCCATCTGTATGTAAGAAAAAAATAATCATTACTGTAAGAAAATTAAATATTGGACTAGGCTACTCAGAGAAATGGTGGAGTCTCCTTCAGTGCAAATATTCAAGACTTGGATTGGCAGGGCACTGGATAACCTTACTCAAGGCCCTGCTTCCTACAGAAGGTTGGACCAGATGTGCCTCTCAACCCAGACTCTTCTACGACTCTAATCTGAAAAATGGAAAGTGGAACCAGTAGCCCTCCTATTTTGTTTAGTTTTGTAAAGCTTTTTTTCCTTCTAATAATCTTAAAAATAGTACTGTGACTCCACCTGAAATGCATATTGATGGTCAATGTATGTCTTCCAGTTCAGAAGTGGCATATGGATTTTGATAAAAGTATATGGAAGAAAAAAGAACAATGAGGAAAATAAGTATATTTTCCCTTGATGAAAGCCTTGAGTTTCTCTCTGGTACTTTATTTCCTGCTATCTTATTATCAGTAACGATATATGGGACCAAACAAAGACCTAATAATTCGAAATTATTAAATCTGAGTGAATAAGGTTCACAACGTTCTGTTTTCTTGAATGGATTCAACTACAAAATACTTTTATCCTTAACAGATTACACACACCACTGTCCTGATCACCTCATACAATAACAAAGAAGAAATGCATACAAGGTAATGGAGAGAATCAACTAACAAGGGAGTTTGCATTTCTTCTGAATTAGATTACAAATAACATTGCTATTTAAAAGGAGTAGGTGAGAGAGCCTGCTGTGGCAGCTTGCAGCAACTGGTGGGATTAACTTATTTTCTGTGGTCTTATATATTAACCAACAAACCCACTTACATTTTCCTGAATTAAAAGGATCTTCTTGAACAAATCATCAGTAATCTTCTTTTTATGATAAAAGTCTGTGAGGTATACTTTGAGAACCTGCATAAACATCTATTTAAAAGGAAGGAAACAAAACCCAGGGTAAGTGCCTGTTCAACATTGTAAGGACATTTTTGTGATAACTTTTGTTGATTCAAATCAAGCAGTGAGGCTATAGTGCATCATAAGCAAAATAACAGAAACCTCATCAGCAACTCTGCAGTACTTCCATTGTGAAAAATTCTTTGGCTTTGGCTTCAATAAGATACTGGAGGATGGTGTTATATTCTAACAAGGACAAGGACATAATCTCATATATCCTTGTAACCAGACTGACACATTTTAAACTGTCCTTTACTGGAGAAAATGCAGATCACTTAAAAATATAAAGCCCATTTTCCTAAAGTTTAATGAAACCCTAAACTGAAAGACACTAACATATCCATTACTACGATTTCAACTGTAGTCGGCCAAATGAAGTATCAAACATTTTTATATACAACCCAAAAGTAACCATCCCAAGTTCTAGCTACCTTCTCTTAGAAAAAATACACCTATTTTCCAGTTGTGTGCTTTTTTTAAAAAAAAAAAAAAAATTGTAATACTAGTGTCTTCAAAAAGATGTTTTTGAACACTGGCATAATTTTTGCTTAACCTCTTCCCCTCTTGCCTCAATTAGAGTGTCAGTGTAAAGACAATTCATTTCATTACTAAATGCTACAGCATTTTCCAAAGTTAAGATAAAAATACGTGAAATTTAACAGCCACCTGCCTGTTACTAATGTACTTGAAAACAGATGATGCAGAAGCTGCCCATTTTAAACATATGAAAACATAAATAAAATCATATTTACATATAAAAGCAGTTATTGAAGTCAACATTTCAGCTGAGCAAAATCTGGAAAATATGTTGTAATTAGAGCTCAGCAGAAGAGAAAACCATAAAGCAGCTATGTTTGGGATCTCACTTGCCAATGTCTTGGATAGGAGTTTGGCAAATTTTGAACACACACCACCAAGATATAACATACTGTAAAAAGAAAAAAAAAAAATCAGGGAAACACTGAAGGAAGAGGATATGTTTCCTTTTCCTAAGGATGCTAAGACAGACTGACTTAAATCAGAGAAAGCAGAGTGGAAAAGGAAGACTATTCTCTAGACTGAATTTTTTTTGCCCTTTTCCCCTGCTAGCAAACATATAAAGCTATTCAAAGCTTCAGCCAAAGGTCAAAGTCATCTGCTTTTTGTGGTAATTTCTGGTGGGCCACAAAGTCTGTTAAATGCTCATTTTCTCAGTGTTTCTGTGATTACATCACCATGTTGTTACCTTACCTTTGTTTACAGATTGATGATTAACTTTGAGATCAAGTTCAACCTTCCCTACTCAAGCTAAACTTCCTTCTGGAATCTGATCTCAAGTTCCCCTTCTCATCTACTTAGATGGGAATAACCCTTCAGAAGAGAAGCTGCTTTCCAGGTTTACTTTCATGCTTCCTCCTTTGGGTTGTGTAGAAATTTGTTCAGCAAATCCCACTCCTTGAAATATTCTCAGTGCATTTAATAAATTATATCAGAAATGACCAATCTGTTGAAACAGAGGTTGGGGAAGAAGGGCAGCAGAAAGCTATATACTTTATGTCCACATTTTTATTAACTGAGCTAAAACTCAGTAACAGTAATGATTCTGTGCTTGATCATAACCAGTCACCATAAACAATTCTCCAAACCAAGTATTCTGTGGCTTTAATTGTATACATCCATTTTTGGTTTGGTGGGGTTTTTTTCCTGTCAGCTTTGGATGCTGTGACTTGATGTAGACAGCTATCTATGGTTTAAATGGCTACCTTAATTCCTCTGTCCTACAAAATCATGACTACAGTACTTATCACAATGGTACTGATTCAGCTGAACTGAATTTTCAATTTTATTCAAAGAGCTTGGAGTCCTTGGAGTTGCAATGGACAAGCACTGTCCTTAAGACATAAACCCATCTATTAAATATTTTTTTCCCCTTGTTTTATGAACCTCAAGTGCTGTATGTTATTCTCTGGAGTAAAGTTTTAAGCCAAATTTTTATATTATCCAGTCTGACTCTCTGTATTTCACAGCCCAGTATATTTCATTATATTTTATTCCTTTATGAAGCTCATATATATGCAGAACAGGAGAAAAAATAAAGACAATACTGTAGAAATGCAATTCTACTACACTACTTCCCAGCTAGCCAGTTGATTGTTATTTCCTAAACTGATATTCAACTAACATGTTCAAAACAAGTAGCTATGAGACATGAGTACCTACCACATGTTTTTCTTTTCTGAGTTCAGTATCAAGAAGCATGAGATCTTTTAAAATAAGACTGCAAAGGCAGAGCTTAACATCAAAACTAAAACAAAGATTAAAAAAGTGTTAATATCAATCTAAGGGCAACACCATATAATAGTTTCATTTAACTACTAAATTCTCCTAGAAGCATTGCCCCAAAGCACTCAAGTCACTTTATTTCCACATTGCCTTCTCTTTCAGATAAAATACCTCTACCCAATAAAAGTAAGCAAAACAAAATAGTGCTTATAACAAAGTTGGAGTTGCAGTTCCCTTTAGAAAAAGGCAAGGTAAATATAGGCATGAGTGCCTACAACAAAGGGAAAACAAGGCTTTAAATTAAAACAGCTATAATAAGAGTGGACATTTTGAAAATATTCTTCATCACTAGTACCTTCCCCAGTCCCCATAGTGACACAAAAATGATTTTCTTTATTCTTGCTAATGAGAATACAGACATATATGTATTCATCTAGGGGTACCTTGCCATGGTGCAGCTGAAAGAAAATCAGACCTGACAGTCAATTTCAATTAGCTCTACCTGTTCATCAGTGGCGCATCTGAGAAAGGAACTGCTTTCCCACAATAAGACATGAGTAGTTCCCATTAAAACGGAGAGAACAGACCACTGCCACTTGCTGTTCTCAAGGCACCTGTTGTGTGACTTGACATTGTACAGTGCAGAGGACTCCATCCCCAGTCGAGCATGCCACTGCACATGTGAACTGAGCATACATGCCAAAACAAAGGGATCTCATCCTAACATTGATATACCTTTTACGAGACAGCTTTTGCTGAAGTTCTGATTCCCAGAATTTCATAAAGAACAAACTGACTTTCAATAGCAGCATGATGTATTACTTTAATCTCCCCAATCACTTTTTTAGGGTTATAAGCAGATAACCCTGTCTTGATGTGGTGAATGTATGCATTCAAGCCCAGCCTTTGGTTTACACTAGACCTTTAGTGATTGTCCTGAAAACCACTGGGGCATGCTAGGAAATGACCAAACACGAGGGCAGGTTTACTGCTTACCTCTCACACATTAGCACTTCAGGGAAGCTGGCCACCTTGAGGAAGGCTCGAGCCTGAAATCTGTCATCGCTTGTTGTGGAATGTATTGTCGTGGAGGAACTGCAGTCCTCTTTGTCTCCCTGGCTCAGGGATCCCAGGCTGCCTGACGTAGATGTCTCCATGACCTGATTAGGCAGAACCGCCTGCTTTGGATTCTCATGCAAAGATGGATTGGATGACCCATCTGCCAAAGGCTACAGTCAAAGAAAATTCACAAGGTCAATTAATACAACACAATAAGGACATAAACATCTCATCAGTTTGCAGAGTTTGCTTTCAAGGGAAAAATTAAACAATATACACAGCAAGAGTGTTTCCACATAAATTAAGATTCATCATACTGACAGGTTTCTGCATTGCCCGGAAAAGCATTCTTCTGTTGTGGTTATCTGCTTGGTGTATATTTTCTTACTGAAGGGCAGATCCTTGTGGGGTTTTTCTTACGGCTTCTTGGACAGACACAACTTCCATTAATGTTAATGGGAAGAAAAGGTCTCTTGACTGCAGCGAAAATTGACCGGACACCATGTAAAGCTCTGCAGGTTTCAGGGGGAGCTGAAAGCAGCTGATGCCTTACAGAGTAAGCCCTGAGCCAATGGACAATAAACAAAGATCCCTATTAAGTAGATTGGCAGTAAGTTTTCTTCCATTACTTGACTCTGCAGTTTACTCTCACACAGAATGATTGTCATTAATTTTTACAAGTAGAATCTAAAACCTTACCCTAAATTTCTGATTGATGGGATAGATCACTTTTGCCTTTAATGCAAATGCCGTGACGTTACTGTTCAGAGGAGACTCACTTTCCTGTATGGAAAGAACAGAAAGCCATTTGGGAACAGCAGCAGATCTGACAGTTGTTCACTGTAAATATTGTGTGCCCCTTTTGGTTACATGACTTAGAAATGCCTATTAATAACTATTTATTTATTGACTGTTTCTGCTTTGGCACAAGAAGTCTTCTCCTAAAACTTCATTCAGAGTATGAAACCCGGAAAAGGGAACTCTGTCATTACCACTGCTCCAAAATGTTTTTACTCCTGCAAGGGAAAATAGGCAATAGCTGGTATTCACAAGTTATTTTCATTTTGGTTTTTTTTTTCCCCCTTTAGCAGCAACTAAAGATTTCACATGAGAGACTGAAATTATCTTAGTAATAGAAACTACTAAAGGATAACCTCCACAGATATCATCATGGCTATGAATTCTGTCTTTCAATTTAAATGAAGAAACATTAGATTCAACAAAACTAGTCATCATTTTTTCCAGGAAGAACTTTTATAGTACAACCCTAACCTATAATCTAGAGAAAATACCAATATTCTTCCAAAGAACTTTTTATAGATAATACATTCTTTTCATACAATCTGCTAAATGACATAATCTGACCTTCTGCTCCTCCTCTTTCCTAGCCACTGCTTTATGCACTGGAACAATGGGATAATCACCTTTGTTTTGTGAAGTTATGTATGGCTTAATAAAAGGTTGGCTATAAGCAACAGATATAATGTTTAAACCCAAGCTTTAGGAGATTTCCTATTCTAACTTTTTTGGTTTTGTCATACGAAATGAAAGAATCTGATTTGTGAAAACATAGTTTTCTTTATATAGATTTTTCTAGGAAATATCAAAGCTCTAATAGAGTCTAAAAATAGAAATGGGAAGAGAAGAGCAAACTACGTCATTCATTAAACTCTTTTATCATTGCACCTTTTCAACTCCTTTTCATTTATTTCCAGAAGTCATTTTTGGATTTACTGATAAAGTTAAAAGCACGGGGTCAGCGTGTAAAACACTTGCTCATACTGAGCAGTCCCACAGCTGCAGTACATATTCAGGGACAGAAGCCAACGGATCCATTGCTCTGCAATGGCTGGAGGCAGAACAGCTCCAGTCCAAAGCCATAAAGCCATATCGCAGTGTGCTAGAACTAACACATCCGGCTTCTCAGCAGGCATGAGTAATACACAGTTATTATTAACACGGTAATTATGGTATTATTGCAATGTGGAAGGTCTCAGAATGAAAATACCTGTTTTTCTGAAGTGCTCTAACCTAACTAAAAGCACTTTCCATCTATGCTTCTTCATGAACTGTCAATTTGATGCTAGCAACTGCAAAAGCCTCTGGGAATTGGAACAAATGAATAGGAAAAAAAAAAACCCAACTTCAGTAGTTAGACAAATAGGTGGGAGAAAGTCCCTTCAAACAACAAGGTTACTTCTTAATGTGTTATAAATGAGCTAACGAGTTTGGGAAATGGATATAGTTGTGAATGATCACCTTTAAAAGACCGTGATCCCATTTCAAAAGGACTGGTAATATGCATAAAGTTGTATCATTGCATAAGGTCTCCCACAGGATTTACACTCCAAAAGAGAATCTAATCCATGCTCACTTGTTATGCTATACTTTAATTCAAGCAAAATGACCAGCCATGGTTTGTCACCATTCCCGATCACAAAACTGAAATGAAGATTAATTACCTGTCAGGACTTAAACCAACAGGAAAATGTTTACAATAATGTCTATCTTCTCTTTGTCTTGAAACCAGTTCTCACTACAAGCTAAGCACCAGACTGGCTGGCTTTTAATCTACACTTTCTGCAGATATTTAATTTATGTATAACAGACTGAATGAGTTAGCTGAACTGCACATTTTTTAAAATGTGCAGTTTACCTCACAACCTTTAGTTTCATCAAGAGCAGCCAAATCAGCTTTGGGTGGAAGGCAGTGATCTAACACTGTGATGTTAGGGATCAACACTAACTCCTACCGTGGAGACGGTAGGACTGGTTCTCAAGTTATTTTGAGACTATCACAAAAAAAAAAGTTTTTTGAATTTTTGATTGAGGGTGGGTTAAGTTTATACCTTCTCCTACTTTTATTTCCAAATTGTTTCTCTAATTGTCCTTGAAACCCAGCTCACCATAGTGGTGTTTCAGTACTTGTGGTCATTTGAACTCTGCACTGTATCTTCAAGCTGATACCTGATGGGAGAACTTCCTATGTGAGAAAGCCACTGAAGATGCTGCTGTTCGCAAACATACTGATTTTACTTCATTTATTCTTTCTCCCTCCATCGATCTACTCAGTCCAGCTGAGAGTTGGAGCCTCTAAGGAGGCTCTAGAAAAAAAGTATTTGTTCCAGACTGGACCTGATGAGGGGACTCTGTTACTGTCAAAATTTCTCTAATACATCTCCTTCTCCAGGAAATAATGCACTATCAACTATCAGCACTGATTTCAGTACTTAAGAAATTTTCCTTACGTCAATAGTGTTAACTTTTCCCATCAGCCTTTTGAAATTACGGAAAATGTAGAGGAAAACCAAAGAAGCCTCTGTCCAGAAAGAACTCAGGATCTTGATTAAAATATCCAAAAAGAGTCCCCCAAGAGAAATGGAATTCATAAGGGGAATGAGTGCCTGAAATGGTTGCATTCATAAGCAACCATCAACTCCCACTCTCCCTATGCTTCTTCTGAACACTTTTTAAGGGTTCCATTCCAAACCCAGTAAAATTAAGACAGTTTGGACCAGGCCCTGAATGTGCTCATTGCTACATGCAGCAAAATGGACATCCACCAACAAGAGCAGAGCTTTACCTCCAGCACCATTTCCTCTTTTGAGGTATAGGGTTCTGCTTTACTTTTCGTGAGTGTGTGCTCTTTTTCGTCAGAGTTGAAGCTTTCCAGAAGTCTCCGGGAATCATCCTTCTGAAATTCCGAGAGAAAACAGATAAAATGTAACCCTGAGATCATGCAGATTCACTGGAAACATCTTTGACAGCAGCCTGGATACATTCATGTCTCCATCCTGAAAATTATTTCAGTATTAGTTGAAAATTTTGGAAAAATACAGTCTGGAAATGAATGAGAATTTTACATATTCACGAAGGAATAATTAAAATTATTGAACTTTATGAATTTGATTTGTCAGTCCAGAAGTAGAATTTTAATCTGAAAAGTTGTAAGAGGCTGTAAATGTGTCAAATCAATCCATCTGCTCTCAAAACGTCTTACTATGGAGTTCAAATTTCTCTATTAAAGAAGGTTAACTAAAATTGTTTATAATTGCCTGCAATGAAGAGAACGTGGAATATTTTTGCTCCCCTGCTATGAGAAAAACTTCCTAAATGAAGTTTTATGGATGGGAAAGTTCCTGTGAGGAAGAAATAACCATCAGAAAATGTTCACCGTCTTCCTTCCCCAGAAGCAGCCCGTATCATTGGCCTTTACTTCCCTAACAAACACACAGAGCCACTGGTACAGACACAGACTGTGCGGGAACAAAACTTCCTGCTGCACACTCTCTTCCCTGTGCACGAGATAGATCAAAAAATAATCTAATGTCGGTCAATGCATCCAAACACGGCATTGCAAGGAATTTTTTTAGTGAAGGAAGAGATGGCAGCCACCTTACCTTGACTACTTTTTAAATTATTTTTCAGGTTCTCAATCCACTGACTGCTTTTTGATATAGTCTATTGATATGGCTGCAGCCACTAGGCATGTAACTGTCTTATGGAGAGATTCTCCTTGAATTATTTGACCACTTGGTATATAAAGTAGTCCATTTTCTCAGAATACAGAGAACTGCCCAGCCTTTGAATACATTTCATTCCTTATGACTTGCCTCTATCACCTCTCTGGAACTTAGATGCTCAATAATACAGATCATACTCTTGGGTTAGCCTCTAAGACGTGGTGAATTGCAGATGCTGGTTCCTAAAAATCTACTTATGACAAAAGAACAGCTACAAGTCTCCCTCAACAATCTTGTCACTCCTTTGTCCCAAACCAGAAGTTCAAAAAATTTAGGTTGAGTGATCGGGACTTGTGGAAGTAGCCATGTTGAGTTCACCACTGTACCTCATACCATAGCCACTCCAAAATAAGAATTTACTTTTCTTGATTTGTTTCTCCGATTGTTCATACTTATCCAGTATTCATTTTCACTCCTTTATATCTCCAACACTATCATTTTAAAAGTATTTGAATTGTTCCAGGATTCATTTGTTTCCTGCTAACATTTCTAATCTCACCGCCTTCCTCTCCACTTGTTTTTGTCCCGTTATTTTTGCAACTCAAGTGCTACTGAGCTCCCCTTTTAGAGCATTAAGAAGTCGAATAAAACTAAGTCTAACTGTAATTACTGCAACACTTCATCAAGCTAATCTACCAGAATACTATAATGAGACAAGCTCTAACCCAAAGGGTCACAAAAGCCTTCAGGCAATGCCGTACTCTAACAGGAGAATATTATCAATAGAAGGGTATTACAGTACACTACATGGTCTGAAGTTACCATGATAAAGGTTTCTTCTCAAAACTATCCCAGTGCGTCCTATGCACAGATCATCAAACCAATAACACACTTAACTGCATGCGTCCAAGTCCCACAGATTCAGGCTGAGATCTATAGAACAGGGATTAATTGGGGCTCAGTGGCAAACGCCAGTGGCTTATCACGGTGCCTATGGCTGCTTCGGACTCCAGGTACTTGCCCTGCTCCCGCTGCAAGTATAACTCAGCTGCTTGGGAAGGAACATGGCATACTTAGGTAAATTATCCCTGCTTTTACTTTGGGTACAGAAGGCTGTAACATGTGCAGTTCAGTACCTGGTATACACACAATAGGCTTGCTCCATAGCATCAGTGGGGCAGACAGTACAAAGAAGGAACAGGCACAGACCGCCTAAGGTAGCCCTGTCCAATTTGGGAAATCGGACCCACAGGATACAACCTGCCCACCCTGCAACGTGCTGTGTATGTGTCAGTGGGCAGTTTATTCTTCTCTGAAAATAAACAACTCTTTTACAGCAGCAGCATTGATTTTAATGGCATTTAAGCACCTAAATGCATCTGAAGATCTAGGCCAGAGAGAACTGACAGCTTCTATCCCCTGTTGACATAAATGACATAAAGGATAAAATTGTACATGGCTATATTTGAGTTGGTAGTGGCAGTACAATAAAGATACCACCTATTAAGGCAGGGAAAATGAGCAACTGAATCAGGGAGGCTTGCACTCGCACAAGATGCATCCAGCCAGCATTTGAAGTGCCTCCATTACTAAGCTAAAGCATGGCTTCAAACAGAGTTTCAAACCTCCTACTTAAAAGCAGTTGGGAGCAAGAGGATTTTTCTCTTAGGCCATGTTTAATGACGATCAACACTAGCAGATACGCACACGCAGCAGAGCTGTTATAGCTGAAAAAAGGTGTGGTTAAAAACCAAGCCAAACCAGACGCCCCACTGCAGGCTGGTAGAACGCTCCGCAGGGCTCCAAATGTCCCAGCTGCGCCAGCGCCAACCATTGCTATATCCAGTCAATCTGGCACGACTTGGGACTAAATGCAATGGGAGAAAGAAGCAGAAGTCGATATAATTCTCAGGAAATGTATCTGCCTAGTAGCGGTTCTGCGGGTATGTGCTACCTCTGCAATCCTTGAGTCCAAACAAACACTGTATGTAATAAAGAGATATGAACCATCACCACAGTCCTTAAAACAGCAAGGCAGTATGTTATTAACAAAATCACACGCTTTAGAAAATCCTGTTAGTTTTGCATCAAGCAAACTCTCAGATGTATTCTGCCTCCTTTATTTCTTGGGTACGTATGTGTGTACCCTCAGTGCTAAGTTATTGCTGTGGGTTAGTACTAATACTCTGCTTGTGCTGTTTGTAAAATGAACTTTGGAAGAGTTCGTAAAATGCTTTGCAAACTGCATTGTTCTTACTGGTTTAGGATGGAAATTAGCGTTTATTCTTAATTATCCCACGAAGTTTCTGCAACGTGGGTACACCTTCCATTATCCCCCGAAAGTAACACAGCCTCCTACAAGAAGTGATGGCTGCGAGAGGCAACTAGTGGGTCACCTATGTTAAAGACACAGGCCAGTAGGGCAATATTTATAACACATAAATACTTAAACCGGCCTCTTTTTTAAGTCAGACCGTTTGTTTCAGTAAATTTTTAAACGAAGAAAGTAGTAAAATCCTTCCCAACAGAGGTGTGTCAGGACTTACAGGGCTCCCCACCTGCCACCGAGCTCACCCCAAGCCCGCAGAGAG